TACAAGCAGTAGTGGGCCTCCCCAGTGGCGCAGCGGGTTGAGCACAGAGCTGTGAAGCTGTCCGCAGCCTCTGCAATGCGGGTTCGATTTCTGGCCAGCCAGGGAGATTCCCACATGGCACAGCACACCTCTCCTGACTCGCCCCCTGCTCCCCTCAGCAATGTCTTCGGTCCATTTGCCTGTTCTGCTCCCCGCTCTATCTCTGGTGAATTCTCTCACCCTCCCACACCTCTGAGCTGTAACCCAGTTCTTGTATAAATAAATAAATCTTAAAAAAAAAAAAAGAAAAAAAATGCAAGCAGTAGTAGGGAACTTCAACTCCCTACTTACATCAATGGGCAGATCAACCCGACATAAAATCAACAAGGAAACTACCTTAAACACGTAATTAGACCAGATGGGTTTAATTGACATTCACAGGGTCCTGAATGCAAAAAAACAAAAAAGAGGGAAAATAAAGCAAAAAAAAAAAAAAAAAGAGTACACATTGCTCTCAAGTGCATACAGAACATTCTCAGGATAACTCACATACATATTTGGGTCACAAAACAAACAAATAAATTCATGAAATTCATGAGGATTGAAAAATCACATATATTCTCAGATCACAATGCTATCAAACTAGAAATCAACAACAAAAATAAAAGAGGGAGAACCTCAACTATGTGGAGACTAAACAACCTACTAGTAAATGACTAATGGAGTAACAAGGATATGAAAACAGAAATTAAAAAATACCTCAAATCAAAAAAATATACAAGCTGCCAGAACTTTATGGGATGCAGGAAAAGTAATGTCAAAAAGTATACAGCAATACAGATCAACATCAAGACAAGATCAAGAAAGATCTCCATAAATAATCTAACTCTCCATCTTTAAGAACTAGAAAAACAAACGAAGCCAAATGTCACTAAGAGGAAGGAAATAATAAAAGTTTGAACAAAAATTAAATAGAAATGATAAAGTGCAAGAAAATCAATAAAAACAAAAGCTGGTACTTCTAAAAGAAAATAGTGAAGCCTCTAGCTTGGTTTACTAAGGAAAAAAAAGGGAGAAAAGTCTAATGTGAAGAAGTTACAACAGACATCTCAGAATTACGGAGCATCGTTAAGAGACCCCAAAGCAATCCTGACAAAGAAAATCAGAGGTATCACTCTTTCAGATTTCAAACTATACTCCAGAACAATAGTAATTAATCAAAACAGAATGGCATTGCAATCAAAATAGACACATATCAATGGAACAGTACTGAGAGACCAGAATTTAACTGTCCATATAAGTGTGGGATTATCTCTGACAAAGGTGTCACGATTATACAATGGAGAAAGGAATGCCATATGCGAAAGAATGGAAACTAGACCACTATCTTACACCCTACACAAAAATTAACTCATATTGGATTAAGACTAGGATGTAAGACCTGAGAGCATCAAAAATATATAAAGAAAATATAGGCAAAATACTCCACAACCTATTCTCAACAAAATGGGACATGAACAATATGGGCAAGTGCTCCAGTCACCACTGTAACCCCAGTCCCTGCTGCAGGCCCAGCCCCAGCTCCAGGCTCAGCCCCAGCCTCCATGGCAGTAGTAGCTACACAGCAGCTCCTGTCCAGGTCCAGACCTCTGCACTGGCCCGAACACAGACTCCTGACGCAGTAGCTGCTTGTCCTATTCTTCCAGGGCCCTTTCTCAACAGTGGCATGGACCAGATAGTAACAAGTAGGGCGCTACCCAAGTCATCAGGCCATTGCTGGGAACTGTTGACAAGCACTCAGTGGAGGTCACAAACTGCTTCTCGGTGCTGAACAAGACAGAAAGTGTGATGGCTGTTGACATGGAATTTGCTAAGAACATGTATGAACTGCACAAGAAAGTCTCCAAATAAGCTCATGCTGGACTGGTACGCTATAGACCATGACATCACAGAGCACTCTGTGTTAATATATGAGTGCTACAGCTGAAGCCTCTAACCCCACTCACCTCCCTGTGGGCAGAGTCTCTAGAATAGCCATGTGAGCATCAAGACCTAGATCAGCACTTTTTACATGAACATGAAGATATGATCAGCACTTTAATGTGTGTCCCTGGGAGGACCATGAGGGTGATGGTCACCTCTGATGGTGAAACGTGTGTTATGACACTGAATGTATTTAACTGAGCATAAAGACATGTTTTAGCCACACCCATGTGACTGGACTCTCAAGTGACTTGCAGCAAGTAGGAGGAGCTCAGGCTCACATTCAGCATGCCCTAAGCGCAGTACTGCAATATGCAGAGGATGGACCATCTGGAGTCCTGCAGACAACACCCTGGGTCACTTCTTGATAAGTCTGGTTAGCCAAGTACCTAAAGTAGTTCCTAATGACTTCAAGGCCAAGCTCATGAGTGACATCAGTGACCTGCTTATAGTGACCTACATGGCCAATCTCACGCAATCCCATATAACCCTCAATGAAAACTTGTAAAGCCGTGAATAGTTCCCAAAAGCATTCCTGTCACTCTAAGCCCCAACACTAGGACTCAGAATGGAATGAAGCTGAATGGTTTCTTTTTGGTTTAAAACACACTGAGTCAGTCAACTGCCTATGACTCTAAAACATATGCTATCTTTTATTTAAAAAAAAAAAAACACTCTATGACATTGGCTTCTGTGATGTCTTTGGAGACTCGACTACAAAGCAAGTGAAAAAAAGTTAAAATTAACAAATGAACTACATCAAACTGAACACCTTCTACACGGAGAAAGAAACAATCACAAAAAAACAGAATACACCCTACTGAAATGGAAGAAAATATTTGCACATCATACATCTGGCAAGGGAGGGACTCCTATCCAATAGCTACAAAAATCTCATAGGACTCAGCGAGAAAACAACCCAATCAAAAATAAATAAATAAATAAGCAGAAGCATTAAATAGGCATTTCTCCAAAGGCATACGGATGGTCAAATGGCACATGAAAAAGTGCTCATCAACACAGATCAGGTTAAAGCAAATCCCAACCATAATGAAATATCACCTCACACCTAAGAGAATGGCCCATTTCAAGAAGAATGGAAACAACAAGTGTTGGCAAGGATGTGGAGAACTAGGAATCCTCTTATACAGTTGCTGGGAGCATAGACTGGTCAGCCCCTATGTTGAGGTTTCTAAAATTATTAAACATAGATCCATAGCATGATCCTGAAATTGTACTGTGTATAATTGAAATTGTCGGTGTATAATTGACACCAACTCGAAGAATACAAAAACACTAATGTGACGGGATATATGCACTCCTATGTTCACTGCAGTACTATTCACAATCACCCACAATGGTATACTAATTAGCTATTTAAACAACATAGACAGAACTAGAGAGGATTAAGCTAAGTGAAACAAGTATATGAAGGAAATACTGGGTGTCCTCACTCATGTGGCATATTAAGAATACCACAAAGGAACAGACAAAACTAAACCAAAACAAACCCAAGAAATCTGACTTTAGAACTGAGATGACCAGAGAAGCAGGGATGGTGGTGGAGAGCAAAAGCAGGGAGGGGGGCGGGGCAAAGGAAAAGGTGGAGAATTTTTGGTTCTTTGCTCCTGGAAATGTTTCATATTGTGGTGACACCCATCTGAAGAGGTGTAAGTCTATACTCCTAAATGACAATGTTACCTTCGTAAAAGAAATATTAATAAGAAAAAACTAAAATTCAAAAACACTTCATTAAAGACAAATCAGACTATCTTTCCAAAACGGATATTCTGTTACTTCCTACCACCAGTTATGAAGGCTTAAGTAAGTGACTCCTTCCATTGGTCTGCAATGTGTGGAGGAAACTATTACTTAGATAATTCATCTTAAAATGCAATTTTTTTAATTATAGCATTATTCTAAAGACCATGTATATTTCCAATCCTAAAAATAACCTTAAAAATATTAGCACCTGGGCCTCCCCTGGTGGCGCAGCGGTTGAGCGCTGGGCTGCGAAGCTGCCCGCAGGGCCTGTTTGATCCCAGGCCACCAGCGAGGGTCCCACATGGTGCAGCAGACCTCTCCTGCAGCACCCGCTGCTACCCTCAGCAGTGTTTCGTCAGTCTGCCTGTTCTGTTCCCTGCTCTGGCTCTGGTGGATTCTCTCCCCCTCCCCCTCCCGCGCTTCTGACTGTACCCAGCGCTTGTATAAATAAATAAATAAATCTTTTTAAAAAAATTTAAAAAAAATATTAGCACCTGCATTTTATAAATAAGGAATATGGGCTCAAAGAGTTGAAAAATTTGAACACATTACATATAACACTAGCAAAACTAAGAATAGTTTATCTCTAGACTTTTTACTTTTATACTAAACCAAATATATGCAATGTATTTTTCACATTGTCTAAAATTTAGACTACAAATTTAAATTTATTATCTAGTACCTTATATTGCCAGGTAATTTTTTTATAAATAAGATAAAAAAGAAAGATGCTTCAGAGATTATAATAAGTCTTATGCTATCCTGTGTTAATTTTGATGAAATAATGAAAACAGAATTCTCTGTCATCTTATGATTTACTTCAAGAAGTGTGAAATTTTTGCCTGGCTCTTTATTCTAGAAAATAAACCTCTGAAAATTCAAAAGACAAAATGTAAATACAATGAATCATTAATGTGAATACAATGAGTCATTATTTGTTAATTTTATGTACCTTAGACTTTTGAAAGATTTCTTAGATTTTTTAGATAACAGTTAATTAAGGTGATTCCTATCCATACTCTAAAGACTAACACATTTTTCTTCATATAGCTCACATGCCATTATGATAAATGACTATAGGCAAAGAAATTCCAGAACAGTCTCAGTCTATAAACAATCAACTTCCTAAAACAAATTACCATGACATAGCTAGATGATCATGCCTAATAAATAGCTTGACAGGCATAATTCTATCAAAAATCAGCAAGTGAACCAATCACATTATAGTGCTTATCCCTTTTATCCATCTAGGAAGTAGCAATATTCTTACTTACCCCATGTTTCTGAGCAGCTCTGACAACATCAAGGAGAACATCTTCCTCAACAAATGGTCTCACAGCATCGTGGATAATCACAACTTCTGGCTTACAGAGCTTGGAGCTGGGCTGATCCTCGGCCAGTGCTTTTAGTCCATTAAAAATTGACCTGTGGCGAGTCACTCCAGCTTCCACTACTGAGATGCGTTTATGCTGGTACTTCTGAATAATAGTATTCATTGCTTCCATATTCTCTCTAGTTACTGCCACGACAATGTCCTTTATCCAACATACTCTAAAAGTAAAGTATGCATACATTTCATATAAATTGATTCTTAAACTGAAGTTAAGCTAATAACAAAAGTGAGTATCTAATAAGTACTATATATCTTCATAAAGATTAAAAACAAAATTAATAACAAAGTCAGTTTTATTTATTTATATTAAATCTAGTAGAAAGAGTTAAAAAAATTAATCTGGGTATTTCATACTACAAACAGACACATGGAATTTCACAGTATACAGTGTGAAATTACTGTATATAATGAAAAATATATTGGGAGTTTAGACATACCTATAGACCAAAGATTTCTGACAGAAGTTGAATGTGAAGAGAATATCAGTAGATTGAAAGAAAATGTGACAGGATAATGCTTTTACATTGCTTTTTGAATTATTTTTCAATAGCAACAGTTCAAAGCATTTTTGACTTCCAAATGTGTGCTCTTTCAAGGTAGTTATTAATTGGCAACAAAGTTGGACAACTAATCTAAGTAAACTTTGTCAACATCAAGGTGGAATACGATAGCTTAAACGGGGACACTAAATTTCTATAAATATGAATCAAGCTCAAAATTGACAAACTCATTTAATGAAATTTAAAGCAAACGGAATTAATCTTTCAAAGCACACACCAAAAAAGATCAAGCTTTTTTTTTTCTGTTGTATCTAAGACTTTTTCTTAAAGATCTACTGGTGAACTCAACTATCAGAAGTACACAGAATTGAATGATGTCTGCATTAAGGAAATTTGGCAGACTTCTCTTAAACACCAGTGCTAACATCAGCTAATGTCAATACAGATTCAGTGTTGTACTGTAAACAGGCTCAAACCAGGAAAACTTTCCCTGAAGTCACTTTAACATTCACTGGAATTATTAGCCTGTGAGATCCTCTATATTCACTGCTAGGCAGCTAAGCCTAAGAGATAGAAAAGGGGTCTAAAAATTACTAAGCAATGCTTCATTGATTTACTCAGTAATTAACAATATCCTACTTTCTGTTATTGAACAAACTATTCCTATAACAGAAAATCTCATTCTGCCTGTGGTTACGATGCCACACTTCAAAACCAAAAGGTACTCTGTGGATATAGTGGCTCTTCCTTTTAAGTTCATTCCTTTAGCTAATGTGTATTCAACAGAGAATAAATAATTAGTATTGCGTATACAATGGAAATAGTCACTGCTTTCAAGAGTTTAGAGATGAAGCCAGTAAGAACACCAATAAATAACTGCAAGTTGTGATCAAGTGAAGAAGTGCAGGTTCCAGAACCCCAGGCAAGTTGAGTATCTGACCAGCACACAGAAGGCCAATATCATGCTCCCTAAAGAAACAGAGTTGCTTCCATGCAAATGGCAAACATTGGGAAAATAGGAACAGGGATTTAGAGGGAGAAGGAGGGGGCTTGTGTAAACAGAATCCATGGCCTGGTGATGAGGGGTAGGAGGAAGTAGTGGGAGTTCAGAGAGCAAGGGGAAATAGAGCCCATAAACAAGCTGGAAGTTCAACCAAGGGCTAGCTAGACAAGACCATGGGTACCTCCCTGGGGTTTTAGTCCATAATCCTACAAAGGAAGCCATGGAAAATCTTCATATGAGAGGGCATTTACACTGGGAAAAAAAAAACACTCTCTTTCCCCAATATTCTAAGCACTATTTTATGACAAGATGGGAACTGAGGTAGAACAGAATAGCACCCAAAAGACATTCACTTCCTAATTCCCAAAGCTTATGAACGTTACCTTACATGCCAAAAGGAACTCTGCAGATGTGATTAAGTTAAGGATTTTGAGATGGGAAGATCATCCATGATTATCTGGGTGGATCCAATATAATCATGACCTTTGATGTGAAATTGAAACAGGAGAATCAAAATATAACAATAAAAGCAGAGGTCAGGGTGATACAGGACTTCAAGTCCAAGAAGCAGGGAACCTCCAGAACATGGAAATGACAAAGAAATGGATGGTCTCCCATCTCCAGAAGGAATACAGCAATGTCAACACCTTAATTTTAGCCCAGTGAAACTGATTTTGGACTTCTGATCTATGGAAGATGTAAGATACTAAACTTGTATTGCTCAGTTCATGGAATATTTTAACAACAGCAATAAGGAAGCAATTTAAGGGCATAAATGTTAACCTGATTGCAAGAAAGAAAATAGGATGGAGACAAAGAATGCAGTAAGGCAGGGTAGGAGGCTGCTGCAAGAGTCTAGGCAAGATGATGAAGACAGCCTGACTAACAGATGGAGCTTGCAGATGGGAATTTAAGAGATAAAGTAGAGGTATTAAGCTACAGGTGTCAGTAAGAAAGACTGACAAAATAAATATCCCATAAAATGGCTAACATCAATTAAGTATTTATTATGTTTAAGTATCATCCATATTCTAATTTATGTAATCCTCACAACACTATACTGTCTCTCATAATATGGGAAACTTAGGTGATACAGAGCTACATTACACTGTATTTTTACCATCTTATGCCAAAATACTTGAAGCAGGAAAAACATTGTTACAAATACAACATTCCATTTCATCTTCTAGAATATAGACTCCATGGTAACAAGGACAATATCTGTTTCTCTCATTACTTTATACCTAAATTCTAGTAGGTATCAATAATTTTTTCAATAAGTAACTTTGGCCCATCTTATCTATCTAAAGCAGTGTAATATCTTAGAACACAGTTTATAAAAATGCAGGAAGTACTGTTCATTAACCTGGTTTGCTACAAAGATTTAAAATAAAAATAATCTTCCCCTTGCAATGTGAGGTTGCTGATTATTTTGTTTAAAAGGCATTTGACTCTTCACTCTGATTTCTAAATCTTAAAGCTCCTGGTGGACCTGGATTATTTATGTTTTATCTGACACCTAGAGGAATTTTAATCAAAAGTAAAGAAACATTGCAGTTATATTCACAGAATACCAAAGAATAAAATATATAGTGATCTATGAAGCAATTAAAAGGATTCTGGAATAAGACTAAGTGTAGGTGGCTTTTTGTTTTGGAACCCCCACTCCTTTCACTGCAAATACAACAATTGATTGAACTCACAATTGGGCCTCCCTGGTGGCGCAAGGGGTTAAGAGGCAACCTATGAAGCTATCTGCAGCCACTGAAGCGCGGGTTCGATTCCCAGCCAGCCAGAGAACAACCTCTGGCCTGTACCCCAACTCTTGTATGCATAAATAAATACATCTTTAAAAAAAAAAGAACTTACAATTGACACACTATACTTAAAAAAGCCTTTAGCAAGTAAAGTTCCTCAATGCCTCTCTAAATATAGGATCCCCAAGGTCCTGTTCTCACAACCATACCTGTGACACAGGCAGTCATCTCTTCCATAATTGCACCATCTCTTAGCTGATCTCCTCCTTCGCATCTCATCCCAACACAATCCATCCTCACCACTTCCACCTGATTTTTCTCAAATGCAAACCTGGGGCCATCTCCTGCTGGCTCTTGAGCAAGGCCCTGCAATACCTGAATACCTCAGTCTACTTCTTACACCACTGGGTCTCTTCTTCCTCTACTGACCACATTCTCTCTCTCAACCAGGTCTTTGCATATGCTGCTTCTCTTTCCTGTTATCACTACCCCACATCTTTATCATGCCCCTTCCCCACCACTCCTTGTTCATTCATACTTGTTCTTCAACTTTCAATTTATATGGCCTCTTTCAGGAAGTCTTCCCTGTTATGTTGGGTAGGATATCCCTGCTCTAGGCTTTCTTATCACCAGAAAGTCCCATCAGACATGATACTGTACTGTTTCAATTCCAGCTCCCCCAACAGATTGCCAACTCATAAGAAGAAAAAACTATACCCCAGAGCTTGGTGTGTGCTAAACTTTTAGTAAAATTAATAAGAGAAAGAACAGCTAAGAGGCTTGAAGTCTTTGCCAGCAGCCATGCACTGTAGAACATTTTACCTACAATATCTCACTTAAATACATATCAGCTTTGTGATGTTGGTTATTATTATCTCTATTTACAGATCTACTGGCCTGCTCATGACCACACATCTAGGAAATGAAGACACCCGACTGGTCCCCCCAGTATGACTATGGAGCTCTCACTGTTAACCACCGTAAATGCACTAACACTGTCAGAGAGGGAGGTCATAAAATCCAAGAGCAAAAAGATCATGTCTAGATCATTGTATCTCCCACATTTCATTTCTATTATCAGTGATAAACCACATAACTTTGCTGCTTTTGTGGTCAAAATGGTCACATTTCTTTTAACTTCTTATAATTCAAAAGTAGGCATCCATTTGTTCATTTATTCATTCAACAAATATCAAGCAAGCATTTAGCCTTTGCCAGGCAAATGTTAGATACTGGGGATACAGTAATGAAGACTTATAGAATTCATGACCTCACATATGGTATGTCAATAAATACCTGTTAAGTGAATAAAGGAAGCTTCAAAAATTGGAAATAAACTGCTCTTGTAGAAAAAAATTAAAGGTAACATCACACTATGTTTGGTTTTAATTACAATAGGGCTGTATTTTGTACCAGCCAGCTAATTAAAACTCTTTTCAACTAAATCAGTGGCAGGATTGCTCCATAAGGCAAAGGCTTAACTTGTCCCCAAAGCTTGCCATGTCTCTTACTTTTCATAGCAAATTCCACCATAAAAAAATAGGTTAAAAGCCAATTTAAAGACATTCTGCTATTTCTTGATGAAAAATTACATTGAATTAAATGTTGAAATATATATTAAAAGGTGGGATATTACTTTGACATGGTGTAATCATTCAGGTATCTAGTCAATGAATAAATTAATGATGTCCCAAAGGCAAATTCCACTTTTATAAGAATGTTTTGAAATAGTTATACAGTAATTCTCTATGTTCCATCAAACAGAAAGTAGCCAAGGTAGATGAAAATAATAACAAATAGATGTATTTATGGTCTCAGCATGTTTCACACAATTGTATGATACTCTAAACGTAAAATAATGATTTAAACCAATATTTCTCAAACTGCTTAATTCAGAA